CTAAGGAAGTTGTTTAAACAAATTTTATTGGAACCATTTTATGAAAAATATAGAAAGAACCAGGGGCGTTTAAAGGGACGTACCTTTATATAAAACCAATTTTTGAAACCATGATCGATCATTCAGCTGTTCCCAACTATTGCGGAAATGAAATGCCAAATCATGAGGAATAATTGAATAATAGTTCAACTTTAAGTAAAGAATTTATTATTTTTATAATAGAGAAAACAAAGAAAATGAAAGAAAATGAAATAATAAAATTGAAAAATTGAAATAAAAATTAATGAAATTTTTTTACGTTAATGAAGAATTTATTTGTGGATTAATAGATGAAAAAAAATGAAGTGAAAATTATCACAAAAGAATTTCATTTACACCGTTTAATAAATTTTAATAAATTAATTTCACTAAAATTTTTCCATTTTAACAATAATAATAAAATTCATCAATAATCAATATAAATCGTAGAATTAGCGAAAAAACGAAAAAAGGGAAAATCTGCTTTTTTATTGGCAAATAGTGGTGCATCCATGCGAAAATTTTTATAATGAGAAAACGCTAGCAATTTTCACTTTCTTCACTCGGTGCATCTAAGGTATATAGAATATTTCCCAAGAAACAATTTCCAAGGGACATATCAATATCTATTCACTTTAAGCCATGTTTTCCTAAATTAGTTGAGTATAAGAGTATAAGCTCCTAAGGAAAAATTTTAAGGTGAAAGGACGAAATTAGTGGATTCCACTAGCGTTGTAAGGGATATCTTTGACCTTTCCGGGCATAGTAGAAAAACTACCTACTTAAGCTTTCCTACCTTGAGCTTTTAATTTCAGAAACATGCACGTCAACGTGCTAATTAACGCAAAATTAATTAATAACACAAAAGCTTACGTTGTTGCACCTTAAAAAGGCAGTGAATTTTGCATATGCTTAAGGCATCAAATAAGTTTGACTAAAAACCCCGTAGCTATGAAAAACTTTATTTTTTCACCTTCTTTTTTTTTATTTAAAATTCAGTTTTATTATTCCTTTCATTAGCGACTAGTATATTCATTTATTCGATATATATCTACATTAGGTATTTAAGGTTCCATTTTTTGTTCAACATTTATCAAAGTTAATAATTGATAGGAAATATAAATCATTATCGATATTAACACAAAACAACAAGATATTGCGCAGTTGCGCAGTATTAATAAAGAAAGCGATAATCCCAATGAATTATACGTACCATCAATTTTTTATATTGTTTCACCCAATAATGCACCAATCGATGCACCAAATGAAATACAAAAGTACTGAATAATTTTTTCTGAAAACTTTATTACCAATGAAACGATGCTATTGGTACTTAAATGATTCATATCACCTACTTTTTCCATTTCTTTTATCTTATCAGAGAATTGCGGCTAAGAAATTCTATAGACGTGCAAATTTAAAAAAAATGCCAGGTTTCAATATCCAATCGACATTTTGATATTTTTTGTGCAACACGGTATCTTCAAAAGTTTTCCCTTAATTCAACATTAAAATTACTTTCTCTTTAGCTATGGTAAAATATCACTTTCAAATGCCTCCAAGAATTGCACTCATATCGCTTCTACTAATAGTTTTAGGTGCAGGTTTCGGAAAATTCTATGCTTTTCCAAGAAGTTTGGACTGTAAATGCATTCTGTTCTTCTTACACAATCATATATTAGATCAATGTACATGTCCCATTGACAACTTACATAATAGACCCTATTTGTGCCACAGGATCTTTGGATTATTTCTATTTATATTGCGAACCTAGCGATAATCATCGCGAATTAAGAGAACCTAAAAAATTTTCTACGAATGATTTAAAAAAACAAAAATTATTTTTAAGAACTTAGCCTATTAATTCTGCGAGAATTTAAAATAAATGAGATACAAAGAAAAATAACTGACAAAAATGGCGATATAGGGAGGAAACATTAGCGTGTGGCTGACAACCTAAAAATGAATAAATGGCCAAAGAAGATATATAAATATATCTTTGAATAATAATAAATAATTCATGCGCGATGATTTCTGCGTAATAAGAATAAACTCTTTGCACAAATTTTATCTAAAAACTATACTCGAAGCCTATTTCATTCGAATAAAATGTTAGTAACTTCTTTTTACAAAAAAAAAACCCTGAAAATTCTCCTATAATTTAGTGAATTTCACTGTGTTCTCATTTAATTTTCATTATTTATATTTTAAAGTAAATCTCTTTTAAAATTTAATAAAATGTGAAGCATTCAACTGCTAAAATATTTCTGGATGGACGAAAATGGAATGTTCGCATCTCAACGAATAATTTAAACGTAAAAATAAATCAGAATTGATTCATGCAGAATATTTCTACAAATTTTACTACTTTTTACATAATTTACGCCTTTTCATTATAGAAAATGGTACTTTTTTTGTGATAATTAACGCATTTTTGAAGATAGAACCATCTTAGAGACGAAATGTAAATGAGAAATATGTCAAAGGTTCCAGTAAAATTTCTGCTACTGATTGGATATTTATTTCGGCTATTCCAAGTATTTATAACTAAACATCAGTAGTACAGATGCACTCGAATTTAATTTGCCACCGTATAGCTAAAGATACAAACAATCTCTGGTGCTTAGCAGAAGAGATAAGATAACGTTACTTTACCTGGATCATAATAAGTTCGATGCCAGTTTGGACTTCTTCTTCTTTCTCGACAAACTTCTAACCTATCGTTCCAACTAAAATTTAAGGCCCTTTTATCTAATAATTCTGATTATTTTTCTATTCTATTTTATAAAATCATAATTTCTAAGTAAAATAAAAATTAATAATAAAAATTATTAATAGAATAAAAATTATTAAATCAATTGAAACATATGATTCCATCGATAAATCTATGCTTCAGAATAATTCCTAATTCCTAATGAAATGAAATCAAATCGTTTGAAATATTCAAATGAAAATTTCTGATAATTGCGGAATTCTTTTGTTATTACCACTATTTTTAATATTTTATATTAATATCGATAAATCGTCAAGAAAAATGACAAATAATTTCGGCATCACTCAAAATGATTTATGCTAATTTTATTTGCTAATTTTGATATTTGGTCTGACCTTTGTCAGAGTGATTGACGAGGTGATAAGTAATAAGAAATGAGAATATCATTAAAACTGATGCGTTTATCCGATAAATAAAACATAGTGCGAAAATTGCTTAATCATCAATTGTACGGATGACATAGTTCACTCGACAATTTTTAGGATTTATATGTATATTTTTTTGTAACATTTCTTGCAACGGCAATGGTATATTTTACAAAAAATAACTGAATAATTGCCTAACTTTCTAAAAAATTCTTAAAAAATTATTAGTATGATGGTAGTAAGTTGGCTCATAAAAAGTGTAGCGAATTAAATATCCATAAATTTTCATGAGATAATATTCAGTTGGATTGAAACCAACTTGGAACTTTATTTCTATAATTGGTCAAAATATCCAGAAAATTAGCCTCGCCTATGTTCACAACGATTAACCAATTAACCAATCATGATAAATTCACACATAAAATGATCGAAGGAAGTGTCCACCTTCCTTCTTATCGATATTTAGTAGTGTAGCAGCTGAATTCAGAATAGATTTTTCATTCTTTTCGAAAAACTTGAGAATGAAAATGCAATTCGATATTCCATTTATATCATAGATCAGTGTTACATATCCAAATTCTCATAAATAGGTTTTGTTTTCGCCACAAGGAGGTGGAAAGGACGCCCATTTGTCGATTTGCTTGCTTATATTAGAAGAAAATAAAAAATTGTAACGTAATGGTTGTAAAAATATCTAAAAATATGATAAAAATTTACATCGATTGTTGTGCATTCTTTATAACAAAATTAAAGGCAATGCAATACAAATTAGAAGCGTTTTGAGAGGTAAGGATAACTGATAGCATGATAATATTTTTATCAGCGAATATTAGAGAAAAGAGGATTTGCAAAAAATCAAAAAAAAAAAAAATAAAATAATAATGCATAAAAATAAATGCAAAATAAATAATAAAATAAATAAATGAATAAATAATAATAAAAAAAGTAGATGCACAAAAATTTTAATAAAATTTTTGATAAAAAAGTTCGAATTTTAATTATTAATTAAAGAAGGACGATATTTCATTTGAAATAAAAACCATTTGAGCAAAGTATAAGACGAATGTGATAGAATTCGCCACGAATTGCTTTTAGCAACTTTGATGTTCATTTCTCTATAAATTCTAAAATCTAAAAATTCTGACTCGACTTTTCTCGGCATTTTGATTTTATATTTATATTCCGTGCCCATGCATGCAAGGCATGACATAACATGAAATATAAATGGCACATGATAAAATTATTATATGGCGATTGTGTGATCATTCATAACCTATAGAATAGCCAATAAGTTCCTTTTTCTCGTTCACTTACCATGTATTAGTACGAAACCAACAAAAAGACCGCAGTTTTCAAGTTTGATAAGATGCTTTCGCATTTTCCTCTTATTTGGAATTTTAGACTGAGTCGATTGTCTGCAATGTAATTTTTGACGGATAAGCTTGGAATGAAGCGAATAGCATTTTATTTTGTTGAATGAATTTATACACGAATGGTTGTTTTTCATTTCTTTTGTGATTTTCTTACTTTTTTTATTTTATTATTTTTTTTTATAAATTTATTTAATACAATTCTCAGAAGAATCTTAATGGAATTCGTTATGATCTACCTACTTCCATCTTTATTAATTAAATTGGTTCCATCGGTTGTTAGGATGAGGTCTTTGGATGGAATAGACAGGCCAACTTCATGGAAAATTAGGAAAATTTCAAGAAATTCATTAGAAAATAATACTTCGAAAAGGTTAATGCAAAAAGGACTGGTAAATTTGCTCAGTGTTAAAGATTGATAAAGATAAAGATTTACGATGCGTCGAATTTTCTTCAGGATTATTAAAATTGATTATGCCATCTCTTGAGAAAATGCCAGATACAACAACGACGGAGTCGCAACAAATACCATCAACCCGTGAATCTATTTCTGGAAATAATTGTGATGCAGCTCAAAATATCATTTCTGAAGTGGCATCAAACATTTCAAGGGACTGGAAAATCAGTGAAGTTCTATCTTCTGATAGGACCGAGGAAGTTCAAAAAAATGAAACAATTTCGAATGTATACGTGGAAACAGTTGGGGAAGAAACTACATCCACTTCTATTATTTCAGAACTTCAATGTCGAACACCTATCGTAGGTTAAGGTTTAAGTATAATTTTTTTTTATTCTTTATTCAAATATTCAAAGAATTAGAATTCAAAAAATTCTTCATTTCAAATATTATCCAAAATTATTAAATTCTTGTGATCGGCAAAATTTGTAAAATTATTCCATTTCAGCTTCAAAACAACACCAAACTTTGACTCTATCAACAATGAAGAGCAAAGTTCCGTTCCACGAAAGTGAATTACCATCATCACCAACTGAATTAGCTTGTTATGTGAGAACATATGCTGACGAAATTTCTTTCCTTGTTAATGAACAATATTGCGATACATCGCATTTGTGCGAAAACTGCTATTCAATGCGAATGGAATTGGAAAGATTAGCTAATAAGGTGGTCACAAATTTGTTTATGTAATTGGATTGATAATATCAAAATAAGTTTTCGCCATCCAAGAAAAATTTCTTATCAAAATATGATTCCCATAATATTTTTTCGAATTTTTAGTTGGAGTCCATAGCAAAGAGCAAAGAGGTAAAAGTGAAAGCAATTCATTCCGTAACAAAAGATTTATCAGCTAATGAAGAAATAGAGGTGATTTGCTTGATTTATTGTAGGAAATTTGGTCTTTTCGGTTTTTTTTTTATTAATCTTCTACGATTACTGTGGAAATGAAGTTGAAAAAATTCAAACTTTTGAACTGTATGGGTTTTATTGGTTCAAATTATGGAAATTTATCCTTAAAATCCTTCGCAGTCCCCTTTCAATTGATCATTTATCTTACGTCAGAAGACTGCTAAATTATTAGGAATTATTTAATTTTCCATTTTTTTTTCTTTCAGCAAAAATTAAATATTCATGAGCAACTAATTGAGGAGAAAAAGAGGTCCGATGAACTGCAATCAGCGAATGAGATCCTTTCTAAAAATTTGGTAAATTTAAGATGAAAATAATTGTATTTCTTTAGTAACTTCTTTAGTGTAGCTTGGATTACAGAAGAAAATTCTTCAGGAAAAAGAAGAAAATTTGAGGAAACTAAAAGAAAAAGAATTGGAAGATTTCAAGTTTTTATTCGAAGATTCGGTAACTAAAAAGAGCAATGAATGCAAAAATTTAAGAAGCGAAGTATTGAAAATAATTTTTCTGGAAAAAATTATCGCATTTCGTATGTTAATGAAAATTATATAAGCTTAGTTTCTTCCGAAAATGTTTTGGCGAAATTGTTCAGAGGTTCAATAGGCTTAATTTTTAAGCAAATTCCCTAACAATTAGCAAAAATTAATCAATTTAAAGGATCAGATGCTTTTCATCTTTTATTTAAATTTTTAGTTAATCGATTCATTCTTCTCCATTTTAATCCCACAACACTATTTCAAGTTTATGCAGGTATATAACTGTTTTTTCAAATATTCAGATTATCGAACAGTCGAAAAAAATCGAAGAATTGGAATCCAGAAATGAGCAATTGATGAAAGCTCTGCAAAAACAAGGACAGATGTCGTTTATTGAACCAAAACAGTTGAAAGAAGAAAAAGACAGAAAATTAGAAGGAAGTAATGCCGAAAAAATAAGGCTTATAAGGCTTTAGAAATAAAGATTTTATTAATTGAAGCAAATCAGAAAATTTCGGAGTGCTTAGGTGTTAAATTGCTATAAATGAAGAGTTTTGGATAATTAGATGAATTTCTAGGTGAATTTGACAAATCTATCGATACTGAGGAATTTACTATTCCAAACGTACAAGTGGAAACAGAGCTTCCGAATGCAAAAGGAGAAAGCGATGAGCCTGGAATGAAATTAGATGGAGTAGAAAGCGAAAATACAGAGGCAATCGAGTTGCTGAACAACATAGTTAAAAGCGGTTCGCTTACTTCCATGCAAAATAAAATTGAAGAAATTCTAGCTATTTGTCAAAATCAAAGTCAAAAGCAATTCCAGAACGATATAATGGAAGAATCGACTAATACAGTGATTATGGTAAGTGATATTCTTTTCTCAGATCACAGCCAAATTGTAAGTTCTTTTCAAATAGCTGTATGGTTTGCCCACTTTCTGATGGTACTATTTGGTCCAGGTTCAATGAACAAGTGCTATTTATGGGATTACTGTCAAATAATGGCATGAAAGATTGTGAATCTCGAATAATCATTATATGTCTGTTTAGAATAATCAGAAAATAGAAGCAATCGCCGCTGAAAATAAGAATTTCGGCACAATGAATAATTTGAGTTATAAACTGGATCGATGTTGCGATGCAATAGAATTTCAAAATTCACAAATCAAAGCCCTAGAAAATAATTTGATTAGCGCCAACGAAGAAACCAAAAAAGCGACCATTGTCACAGTTTTAGTAAGTTTAACTTTTTCATGGTTGAAACGTGCATTAATACATTTTTGTGGAACTGGATGCAGTTAAAGACAAATTTAGAAATTGTCCACTGATATAGCGAGTGGTTGCCAAAAAATGTTAAGCATTCTTATTCGGCTGAACACCATAATTTGTGATCATTTTAGAAAGTAAATTGGCGTTGCGGGAAAATTTTGCGAAAATGTAAAAAGATTTCAAATGATCGCAAATGCCGAAATGCTATAGAATCTTTGAAAAAGGTAATGGTTTTGGTTTTTTAATGAACAGTAATGGTTTTTTTCCTTTTTCTTCTTTTTCTCACCATTACTGGCTTCAACGGCTACAAGGGTAAGAAGCGGCACGGTCTGTCGTCGATGCTATCGTCGACAGTAATGGAAGCCATTCCTTTTTCCATCGTGTAAGTCCATATATTGCTGGTCCATCTATACGTTCAAAACGGTCTAGCAAATAACGAAATCTGAAATATGCATATTTCGTTTCGTTATTTGCACTAATAGTTTTACAATTTGATAACTGAATATTCTATAATTTTTATTTTGCGCTGTGTTTTTATTATTTTAAAGTCAAATAAAATCCATTTCACCGACGATTATTTCAGTTGATCGAAAAAAATTCATTGGCCGACGAGAATTTCGCTGAGGAAAGGCGATTGTTGATGCGACAAACTGTGGAAAAGGCGTTGAAAAATTACGATCGGATTATTGAAACACATAAGGCAGAAGAGGGCGAAAAAACTGATGCAATTTGTTCGAAGATTTTTGAAGTAATGAAAGCAATAGAGAATCAGAAGAACCTATTTCTACATACTTCGCAGAATACCGAAGAGAAATTTTTCTCGAAGATTGAACAGGAAAGAGCTAAATGGGAAAAAACGGTGGAAATTTTCAATGAAAAATTAACATCGATGGTCGATAATTTGCAAGTATAATGAAATTTTACTATTATTTTGAAATATTTCGAATCCTTAATTTATTTTTAGTTTTTTATACTTGTTTTGTGAAGGAAGGAACTTAAAAGAAATTTTTTTGAAATATTTCAGAATGACGCACATAACATGGAGAGAAAAATTGATGGCTCAAAGCTTTTTAATGAAGAAATGATAAAAATGAATACGATTAACGTGGAACTTGCAAAAACGCTAAAAGTGATGGAGGAAAAATATAGCAAACTTGAGGCGGAATTCAATATTGTAAAGCAAAAATGGCAAGAAGACTTGGCTTTTAGTAAAAATAAACTTCATAAGATTAGGCAGAAAAATGGAATATTGAAGAAAACCATTCAGAGCCTTGAAGGAAAACTGAACAAATCAGAAAAAGGAATGAAAGAAATGAAGGAGCGATGTGAAGAAAAGGAAAGAATAATGAATGAGAGAATAGAAAACTTCGACACGGACGACGATGTAAGCTATTTTGCAATTCAGAATAATTCTCACAGTCTCATTTTATAGAAAAGTCGAGTCGGCTGATATTTGTTTGACGTGAAGGCCGTCAAGCCTTATTCGCAATCCGATTGAGAATCTCGCGATGGTTAATGATAAATTTTCCTGGCTATTTCCTGTTGCTATTTGAATAACGATAATGTTCTTATTAAAGGATGAAGAAAACATGGTTGTGGCAAAACAGAGAATAAAATTATTACTGCTCGATAACAATAGACTTGGAGACGCTTGTGATGAAGCCGATGAAGAAATCGAAAAATTAAAGAATGAACTGGAAAACTTAAAAGCTAAACTGGCAAATCTTGAAGAAGAAAAGGTTGAATCAAAACTTTTTAGCATTTATTAGAAAAATAATTTGATAGAAAAACTCGATGATGTACCAGTTTTGTCAATAATTTCAGTGCCCTTCCAGTAATTTTGAAGATCAAACAGATTCGTTTGATTCTGCAAAAAAGCATTTAAAACCGAAAGCAAACTGGCTAAACTTAGCGGATTCACTGGAGTCGCTAAAATCAGGTCAAAGCACTACTAGCCAGCAATATAATTGTAATGTACAAGGTATGCAAATAGTTAATGGATTTTGGGATATTCAATTCTAGTTTATAGTTCCACATTTATTCAGCTTTTGTTATATGCAAATATAAATTTATTATTTCATGCAGAGGAAATGCTAATGGATTTGCTAAATGAAATTCCAATAGAAGGTGAATCAGAAGTTTCTGAAATAAGCGAAATAAGCGAAGAAAACGATTACAGTACATTATAAATTTATTTTTTATTACAATAATTTGTTAATAATAATACCTTTTACTTTTTTGCATTGTTTTTGTTGTATTTTTCTTATATTTTGAACTGGAAGTAAACATTCGCGGAAGGCGATGGACTTGCATTCAGTAAAAAATCATTCTCAGTTGAAAATAGAAAACTGCCTTTTTTTAAAATTTTTGTACAATATATTTGGTGCGATAGGATTATAGTTGAACTAGTAGCATCGACCAGATTTTTGAACAGGTTTTTTTTCGCGAATAGAATCTCATTCACCGTTAGATAACAATGCCAGCCAGTGAAGAATAGTGCGTCAGCCGGATGTCCAAAGGCATGTCCCGATTTTCGATGGCAATTGCCACCGAGTCACCGACGATTTTATTCTTATAATTAGTGCGTATTATCTTTTTTCATACCTTTTTTCTTCTCTTTGGACAGATCTTCGATAATTTTGATGTTAATACACTTTTGTATATGCTTAAACATATATGAAATGATAAAAAAAAAGGAAGAACTCGAAAAACATGGTTATCAAACAATCATCTTCTCACCAGTTCCTGCAAAGGCGATTAAGATAAGACTCTTATGAATAAAGATATGACTATTATTGAATTCACCCATGAGAATTTATGAAGCAAAATAGAGATAATGGTAAGTATTTGCTATGTCGGAACCAACTATAACAATTCTCTATTGTACAAGTCGATCAAATTTTCCTAAATCGCGCAAAGTTTTCATTGCAAAAGAACAACAGAATACTAAAAATCGACCGCTCATTATTTAGAAAAGCTAGTAAAATGATTTCCCTAGTTTTTTAGAGAAAAATAAGAATTATAAATTTCTAATTTTATCGCATTTTTTATCCAAAACCCGCAGGTTTGTGTACCATCGCATTCGCAAATAATCGCATTAGATTTTCTTTTTTTTCCTTTCAGTTCATTATTTTATTTTATTTTCTGAATTTAAATTTTATTTTTATTAAGAATTTAGAAAAAAATTTAGTAAAAATATTCATTTCAAATATTCATTTAAATATTTGAATTATTTGCAAAATTCTTCAAGAAAATTTTTCAGTAAAATTTCTGGAGAAATTTTTCAATAATTTTTAATTTCATTTTTCATTTATATTCATTTTCCCGATTTATTTCTTTTGTTCGCATCAAACAATTTATCATTTTAATTACTTACCGTTTAATTACTTAAAATTTAATCACGTACATTTGCATTTAATATAATAATAAAGATAATAATTAAAATCCCGGCTACTAAAATGATTAGCCCGAATTGTTGGAATCGGAAAACAAATGCTATTCGCTTTGAAGAAGTCTGAGGTTTATGTGCACTCCGATACTTTTTTATTTTTTTATCATATTTTAAATCAAAGAAGATGTCCCCATGTACATTCTTCATAATATTTTGTTGGTACTGCAGGAATGTGCAAACCGACTGATAATTTAAAAAAAAAGATAACCCTGCGATTCAACACAGCTTATTGAGAAAATCTAAAACATTTTAATTAACCAAGCTTTAATTCGATCCTATTTGATTTCCACATTTTTCGAAAAATTTGGCTAAAATACCATTTTTGCTATTATGGACCTATTCTGTAGCGCTCATTCATCTGATAAATGATAAGAAAAATGAAGGCGAAATAAAGAGAATAAAAAGGAACAGTGCACGAAAAATTATATTAGCTTTAATAACCAAATAAATTGTTAGCCACATTTCATCCACTTCACTCACTATTTGTATAATGGGAATATTATTCCCAGAATACCACTTAAAAATATAAACATAAAAATATAAACAGAAAAGGGCCGATAGCATCAAGCAGATTTTTGCAGAAGTTTTTGATACTGAGAAATGCCATGAGCTAATCACAATATTCGATATGATTGTCTAAGCAACTTGGCTATTTTACTCCTAAGCCTAAGCCTATGTCGCTTATCTGAGAACTCCTGGGAAGGTCTGAGAAAAGGTACTATGTTATGTGAATCTTCTAGCAGGAGAGTGGCGTAATACGCTGCAAGGTTCGTACTAGAAAAACGGCACATTTATAACAATCTTCAACAAATGTACTCTTTAGTA